CTCGCCCCTGGGGGGGGGCGATGCACACATAGCATTAGCATGCTGGGCCCACCTAATTAGGCGTTCTGGGTGTGCCCGCATCGTCCCGAGAGCGGCTGCTGGAGGTCCGGCGGCCGCCTGCCTGGACCTCCAACGCATTGAAACAACCTTCTCCTCCTCCTCCTCCTCCTCCTCCTGCTCCTCCTCCTCCTCGAACTGAAGCGGCGCAGCCGCGTGAATGCTGGCATTTGGGCGTTAGCTGCAGCTCCAAATGGGGCCCCGAAGCGCACGAGGAGTGTGACGCGGAGAGTTGGGAGGGGGAGAAAAGAGAGGCGGAGACGAGGAGGAGGAGGGGGAGGAAGAGGAGGAGGAGGAGGAGGAGGAGGAGTAGGAGGAGGAGGAGGAGGAGGAGGAGGAACGGACGCAAGCGCTATCCCTTCAAAACGAGGACCAGCAACGCCATGAAAGAACGGGGCCGCATCGGGCCGTCGGAATACCGCAATCGAGTCGGCTTGCGCGGGCATCGGATCGACCGGATCAAAACGACCCCTTCGAGCTGATCGACATCGCATCGGATCGACACGGGCCGCCGGCAGGGCCGCCGACGATCGCACGAGGCCCGCCTGCAGGGCCGCCTGCAGGGCCGCACCACGACCGCACGGCGGCCGCCTGCAGGGCCGCCCGACGGCCGCACGGCGGCCGCGGGCAGGGCCGCACGGCGGCCGCCAAGTTGAGGACCGCGCGGCCGCACAGGGCCCCACAGAGGGCCGCCTGCAGGGCCGCACGACGGGGCGGGACGGGGGGCGCCTGTGCGGGCAGGTGCCCGGGCCCCTCGGGGGCGAGGCAGGCGAGGCCCTGCACACGAGAGGCTGCGCGCGCCGGGCGCGCAGCCTTTCGGGGAGGCGCGCGGCGCACGAAGCGAACTGCCCAAAATGTCGAAGGCCTCGCGCGAAGGCCGCGGGCGTGGCCGCCGAGGGCCACGCGGCGGCCCCTCGTGGGGCCTCCGGAGGCAGGCCGCCCCCAGGCCTCCGCGGCGCCCCCTCGTGGGGCGACACGAGGAGGCAGGCCTTCGTGAGGCCCCTCCTCGTGTCGGCACGGGCGGCCGCTCTCGGCTCCGGAGGCGCCCGCGGGAGGCAGGCCGCCCCCAGGCCGCGGCCGCGCTCGGCGGAGGGCGGTCGGCCAGGGTCGCAGGCTGCGTGTGCCGTGGCCGGCACGCCGCCCAGCGGGGGCTGCTGCTCCGCCCCGTGCCGCGCTCCTCCTCCTCCTCCTCCTCCGCCTCCTCCTCGTCCACGTCCTCGTCGTCCTCCTCCTCCTCCTCCTCCTCTTTCTACTCCTGTTTCTCCTCCTCCTCCTCCTCCTCCCCTTTCTCCTTCTCCTCCTCCTCCTCCTCCTTCTCCTCCTCTTTCCACCTGTTTCTTCCTCCTCCTCCTCCATTCCTCCCCTTCTCCTTCTCCTCCTCATCCTCCTCCTCCTCACTCCTCCTCCTCCTCATCCTTCTTTTCCTCCTCCTCCTCCCTTTGTCCTTCTTCTCCTCCTCCTCCTCCTCCTTCCTCCTCCTCCTCCTCCTCCTCCTCCTCCTCCTCCCTCCTCCTCCTCACCCCTCACCCCTGCTTCCCTCCTGCTCCTCCTTCTCCTCCTACGCCTCATCCCCTCCCCATCCTCGTCTCCTCCTCTCCTTCTCCTTCTCCTTATCCTTCTCCTCCTCCTCCTCCTCCTCCTCCTCCTCTCCCTTTCTCCTCCTCCTCCTCCTCCTCCTCCTCCTCCTCCTCCTCCTCCTCTTTCTCGTTCTTCTTTTCTTCCTCCTCCTCCTCCTCTTCCTCCTCCTCCTCTTGCGGCCGAGTGTCCGCGTGGCGCCCAGAGCACGCTGGTCGGGAGCTGGCAGATACCCCTGCCGCCCCTCAAATGGGGCGGCTACTCCGGGGGTGGCCCGCTGTCTCAGACAAAAACCTCTCCCGAGGGTGTGTGGTCTGCCAGCCGGGGCCTATAATGGTCCGCGTACACGAGAACGCCATGACGGCCACGAGGGAGCTGGCGCCGACCGCGAGCTCTGGCCAAAGCCGCGGCCGACCTCCAACACCTCGTCCTCCTCCTGGTCCTCGCTGGCGCCAGCCTCTGGCCTGTGGCCCTGAGATCAGGGCGTTGCCATTATTTCACACCCGGCGGTGTCGCCCGGTTTCAAGCCCTGGGCCCATCGCGGATCGATAGAGTCGGACTTCATTGGACAGGACACGCAAGAGGACACAAGACCCTTCCGAGGGTCACCTTGCCACAGGAATACGGGAGGCAAAAGTCACAGGACACAAGGGTACCCTGGAGCTGGCAGGGTCGACCTGCTAATCCGGGCCGACTGTATGACTCGAAAGCTGGCGCACAAGGGGGGGGGTCTGGGGCTCTGGTGGCCCACCTCCCAGCTGGTGATGCTGCTCCGCCACCTCCGCCTTCATCCCCCGCCCTCCTCCTTCAGGGAGTGCGCGACCGCGAAGCCCTTCGGCGCGAAACATCAACCTCCCCATTCCTCGTC